AAAAAAAAAAAATTCTAATATGTGTGTAGTGGATCTCATTGTGGTTTTAATTTAGATTTCATTAATGACTAGTGTTAATCTTTTTGTATGCTTTTTGCCATCTACATATCTTCTTTAGTGAATTGTCTATTCAAATATTTTGTCTACTTTTTATTTCTTTGTTACTCACATTTTTGTAAAAGTTATATAATTTGGATATAAGTTGTTTATTAGGTACATGTTTTGCAAATATTTATCCTAGTTAATGGCTTATCTTTTTATTTTCTGAACAGTGTCTTTTGAAGAACAGACATATTTGTAAGTCAAACTTAGGGATTTACATCTTTGATGAATTGTTCTTTTGGTGTTGGGTCCAATATTTCTTTAATCAGAGGTTACAGATATTTTCTCCTGTGCTTTCTTCTAGAAATTTTATAATTTTAGGTTTTACATTTAGGCCTGTGATTGATTTTTGAGTAAATTTGTGTATATGGTTCAAGATACGTATCAAAGGGTTGGGTTTTTGTTTTGGTGAGTGGGGGTAGGGAGGAATATGGATAACTAACTGTTCTTGTACCGTTTGTTGTAAAGACCAATTCTTGATCTACTGGATTTCTTTTGTATCCTTGTCAAAAATCATTATCCATATATGTGTGAGACTATTTCTGGATTTCTGTTTCATTTATCTATTTTTCTATCTTGATGCTAAATAACACACTTTCTTGATTACTTCAAGTTTGTAATATATCTTGATATTAAGTCATGTTAACTTTCCAATATTGTCCTTTAGAGTTGTTTGAGCTGTTCTGGATTCTTTACAATTATAAATTTCTACAGAAAATTTCACTAGAATTTTCATGGAGACTGCATTGAATATATAGACCAATTTTGGGGGGAAATTGATTTATTATCAGTATTAAAACTTCCAACCCACACAATGTCTTTCTCCATTCATTTAGAATCTAATCTAATCTCAACCTGTGGGTCACGACCCCTTTTGGGGTCACCTACGACCATCAGAAAACACATATTTCTGATGGTGAAATAGCAAAATTACAGTTATGAAGCAGCAACAAAAATAATTTTATGGTTGGGGGTCACCACAACCTGAGGAATTATATTAAAGGGCCGCAGCACTAGGAAGGTTGAGAACCACTGATTTAGAGCTTCCTCAATTTCTATGAGGAGTATATTCAAGTTTTCAATGACATGTTGAAAAATCTTTTGTCATGTTTATCCTTCAGTGTTTTATATTTCTCATGCTGTTATGAATAGTATTCTTTTTATCTTAATATCCAGTAGTCCATTGCATATATAGAAGTGAAATGGATTTATGTGTATTGCTCTTACATCCTGAAAGCTTACTAAAGTCACTTATTAGTTGTAAGAGCCTTTGAATAGATTTAATAAGATTTTAAAATATGGTCTCATAAGTAAAGATAGTCTTACATCTTCCTTGCCTCTGACTAGAATTTAGTACAATGCTGAATAAAAACAAAGAGAGCAAGCACTCTGGGAGTCCAAGGTGCATGGATTGCCTGAGCTCAAAAGTTCAAGACCAGTCTAAGCCATTGTGGCGGGTGCCTGTAGTCCCATGGGGCTACTCAGGAGGCTGAGGCCAGAGAATCACTTAAGCCCAAGAGTTTGAGGTTGCTGTCGGCTGTGATGCCAGGGTACGCTACCGAGGGCAACAAAGTGAGACTCTGTCTCAAAATAAAAAAACAGAGAGCAGAAATCCTTCTCTTGTTCTTGATCTTAAGAGGAAAGCATTTAGTCTTTCATCATTAGATATCTTATGTTCTCAGTGGGTTGAAGACGTTCCCTACTATTATTAATTTGCTGAGAATTTTTTTTTTCAATCAGGAATTTATATTGGATTTTGTCAGGTTTTCTGTATCTATGGAAATGATCTTTTCTTTCTTTTTGTGAATTACTGATTGATTTTTTTATGTTAAATTAACTTTGTGCTCCTAAGAAGAAACTCACTTAGATGTATATTACTTTTAATATATTGAATTTGGTACAATTTTGTATACATATTTTTGCAACTATGATTATGAGAGAGACTGGTTTATAGAGTTTTTTTGTATGTTTTTCCAGTTTTAATAACATGGTAATTGGAAAATATTCCCTCTTCAGTTTTTTAAAAGACTTCACATAACATTGATATCATTCCTTGCTTAAATGATTGGTAGAGTTTGCTCATGAAGCCTTAAGGACCTGGAGTTTTCTTTATGGGAATGTTTTATCAAATTACTATAGTAGATATTATATAAGCATGTAAGGTTATTCAGGCTACATGTTTCTTGTTTAGTGAGCTTTGTTAGTTTCTTTTGAAAGATATGTCGATTTCATTTAAGCTGTTGAACTTTTGTTCATAATATTCCCTTACCCTTTTAATAATCTGTAGTCATGTTACCATACTCATTCTTAATATTGGTATTTTGTCTTCTCTCTTTTTTCCTGATTATTCTGCCTAGAGATTTATCTACTTTATTAATATTATTAAATCTTTTCATTGATAATTTTCTTTTGTTTTCCTATTTTGTTTCATTTATTACCTCTCTGATTTTTATTATTTCCTTTCTTCTCCTTCCTTTGAGCATTTATTTTTCTTTTCTAATTTATTATAATAGAAGATGAGATTATTTGAGACTTTTCTTTTCTCATATAGGCATTTAACACTGTAAATTTCCCTCTAAGTACTGATGTTAAAGTACTGCATTTCACAGATTTTGATGACTTGTGTTTCAATTCAAAATACCATCAAAGCCTCAGTGCCCACAGCTCAGTGGTTATGGCACCACTCACATACACCAGCCCAGGCCTGCAAAACAACGACAACTAGAACAACAAAAATAGCCGGGTGTTGTGGCGGGTGCCTGTACTCCCAGCTACTTGGGAGGCTGAGGCAAGAGAATCGCTTAGGCCCAAGACTTTGAGGTTGCTGTGAGCTTGATGCCACGGCACTCTACTGAGGGTGATATAGTGAGTCTCTGTCTCAAAAAAAAAAAAAAAAAATACTATCAAATTTGCTTTTTGATTCTTTTTTCTTTGACTTATGTTTATTTATTTCTGGGGAATTTTCAAGCACACTTCTGCCATTGATTCCAAATTTAATTCCATTGTAATGAAAAACCATATTTTGTATGATGTGATTTTTTTTTAATTTACTAAGAATTTTTTGTGGCCCAAAACATGGTCTATCTTGATAAATGTTTCATATGCAATTAAAAAGGATCTGCTGTTTTATGGTAGATAGTTCTATAAATATCAAATATTTGACATTTAATTGGTTGTTTTGTTTAAGCTTCTGTATCCTTGCTGATTTTCTGTCTACTTCTCTCAATTATTAGAAGAGAGATATTGGAATCTCTGAGTGTAAGTGTAGGTTTTGTGGATTTCTCTATTTCTTCTTGGAGTTTTTTGCTTCTTGTATTTGGAGCTCTCTTATAAATGTTTAGGATGGTTGTTTCTTTTCTTTATTTTTATTTTTTTATATCAGATGGGTAATGTGCCAATATCATAACAAGGTTTAGAGGAGACAGATCTCAGACACGTGCATGAAAACTCAGTCATCACAATAGGAACTGCAGAAGAATCTGTTATGCCTTCTTGATGAATTGACCTACGAATCATTATGAAATGATTTTCTTTATCCTTGATATTATTCTTTGCTTCAAAATCTAGTTTGCCTGATGTTAATATAACTACTCTACCTTTCAATTGATTTGTATTAGCATTTGTTAGCTGTCTTTCACCATACTTTTAATCTATTTCTATTTAAAGTGTGTTTCCTATAAGCGGCATAGTGTTCAGTCTTGCTTTTTTGGCCAGTAGATCTTTGGCTTTTAATTGAACTATTGAGACGACTTACATTTTGTTTTAATTTTGGAAAGTTTAAATTTATCATCTTGCTATTTGCTTTCCATTTATCCCATTTAGTTTTTGTTATCTTTTCCTGCTTTTTTCTATTTCTCTGCCATTTTTTGGGCTGAATATTTTTTATGAGTCTATTTTATATCCTTAATCAGCTATACTCACTGTACTCTTTGTTACTTTTGTTTAATGTGTTATGTATACTCTAGGCTAAACTTACGACAGTGTACCCTCAAGTGATAGTGTACCATTTCACATGTAGTATAAGACCCTTCCAGTAGTCCTATCAGGGATGCCCCCTAGGTTCAAAGATTCACTAGGAGAACTCACAAGACTCAACATATAGTCATTCCCACAGCTATGCTTTATTATAATGAAAAGACACAAAGCAAAATCAGCAAAGGGAAAAGTCATATGGAGCAAGTCTAGAAGAAGCCAGTCACAAGCTTCCAAGTGTCCTCTACCGATGAAGTCACACAGCATACACTTATATTTCTGCAGCAGTGACTTGTGGCAAGTAGCTGGGACTACAGGCAGCCACCACAATGCCCAGCCTTTTTTAGAGACAGGATCTTGCACTTGCTCAGGCTGGTCTCAAACCTGTGAGCTCAGGCAGTCCACCCACCTCAGCCTCCCAGAGTGCTAGGATTACCAGCATGAGCCACCATGCCTGGCCTTCAGCAACATTTTTAAAAGATATTTTCACTGGGTAAAGAACTCTAGATTGACTGACTTTTCCTTCTTTCCATAATTTAAAACTGTAAATCACCAGCTTCTCACTTGCATCATTTTTGATTTTTTTTTTAATTTAATATCATTCTTATTTTTGTTTCTTCTCTGGCTGCTTTTAAGATTTTCTCTTTATCACAATTTGATTATAATGTACCTTGGTGCCATTTTCTTTATGTTCCTTGCACTTGGGAGTCATTGAGCTTCTTGGATCAGTGGGTTTATAGTTTTATTCAAATAAATATAGCCATTCTTTTTAAAATATATCTTCTGTCTCTCACCTTCGGAGACTCCAGTTACGTCTATATTTGGCTAGTTGGAGTTACCTCACAGTTCACCAATGTTCCTTTTATTTTGGAGGATTCTTTTCTCTGTGTGTTTAACTTTACATAATTTTTATTCCTATATCTCAAGGTCACTTATCTTTTCTTCTGTAATGTCAGATGTGTTGCTAATCCCATCTAATGTATTTTTCATGTCAGATGTTATAGTTTTATCTCTAGAATTTCAATTTGGGTCTTTATTTCTTCCATGTTTGTGCCTTTTGAGCGTATATAATACAGTTACAATCTCTGTTTTAATATCTTTCTCTACTAATTCTAATGTCTGTCATACTTATGAGTCAATTGCAATTGATTTTTTTTCTCATAAATATAGATCATATTTTCATGCTTCTTTGCATGTTTGGTAATCTTTGTCTGATTGTCAGACAGTATGAATTTCACCTTCTTGGGTATTGAATATTTTTGTATTCTTATAAATATTCTTCAGCTTTTTCTCAAATATGATTAAGTTATTTACAAATAGTGTGCTGAGTTTTTAGTCTTGCATTAAAATTTTTTAAGCAAGACCAAACCAGCATTTATTTCTGGGCTAACTGTTCTCTACTACTGAGATAATACCCTTCTAAACATTCTACCTAATGTCCTATAAATTATAAAGTTTTCCATTCTGGCTGGTAGGGACAGACACTATTCCTGCTATATCTGAGCCCCAGACAATATTCTCTCTAATCTTCTTCTACCCAGCCTTGGGTAGTTTCCTCACATATACATGCCAATCAGTACTCTGCTCCTTACTCCAGGATTACTTTCCACAGATGTCCAGATTATTTCTGTACATCTCTCCTTCCTTTTACTCTGTCCTTTAAACTGTCACTGCCTTGGTTTTCTGGGATTCTCAGCTCCACCTCCACAACTGTAAGAGTCTATCAGATTTTGGCTGACTTCTCCCTCCTTATATTCTTTAATTTCCATATATTTTGTAATTTTCCAGTTTTCTTTCTGTTACAGATTTCTAATTTAATTCAGACTGTGGTCTAAGAGCAGACATTCTATAATTTCTATGCTTTTAAATTTGTTAAGCTGTATTTCATAGTCCAGAATGTGGTCTAGATTGGTGAATGTTTTAAGTGAGCTTAAGAAGAACGTGCATTCTGTTGTTGGATAAAGAAGTCTGTGGGTGTCAATTATATCCAGTTTATTAATGGTGGATTGAGTTCACCTGTGTCCTTACTGATTTTCTGCCTGCTGGCTGTATCTAGTTCTGATAGATGTTGAAGTCTCCAAGTATAATAATGAATTCATCTGTTTCTCCTTGCAGTTCCGTCAGGTTTTTTTTCTTTTTCTTTTTTTTTTTTTTTTTTTACAGAGCCTCAAGTTGTCCCCCTGAGTAGAGTGCTGCAGCATCACAGCTCACAGCAAACTCTAATTCCTAGGCTCAAGCTATTCTCCTGCCTCTGCCTCTGCCTCTGAAGTAGCTGGGACTATAGGCACCCACCACAACACCCAGCTATTTTTTGGTTGCAGCTGTCGTTGTTTGGCGGGCCCAGGCTGGATTCAAACCTGCCAGCTCAGGTGTATGTGGCTGGCGCCTCAGCCACTTGAGCCACAGGTGCCAAGCCCAGTTCTGTCAGTTTTTACTTCAGATAGTTTGACACTCTGTTGTTAGACAAATACACTTTTTTTTTTAGAGACAGAATCTCACTTTGTCGCCCTCAGTAGAGTGCTATGGCATCACAGCTCACAGCAACCTCCAGCTCTTGCCTCAGCCTCCCAAGTAGCTGGGACTATAGGCGCCCGCCACAATGCCCAGCTATTTTTGTTGTTGTTGTTGTTGTTGCAGTTTGGCCGGGGCCGGGTTTGAACCCACCACCCTCGGTATATGGGCCAGCACCATACCCACTGAGCCCTGGGCACCGCCCGACAAATATACTTTTAAGAATTTTCATGTGTTTTTGAAAAATTGGCTTCTTTTTTCATTACTAATGCCTCTCTTTGTCCCTAACTGTTGCCCATTAGATCACTTAAGAATAAGAAAAATTAAAGTTTTTTATTTGGCCTTCACTTATTCCTTCCTTCATTGTTCTTCTTTTCTTTATATAGATTCGTGTTTCTTACCTATATTATTTTTCTTTTTTTGAGATAGAGTCTATGTCACCTTCGGTAGAGTGCTGTGGCATCTGAGCTCACAGCAACCTCCAACTCTTAGGCCTCAGTGTGATTGGCACCCTACTCACTGAGCTACAGCTGCCAAACCAGTTATTTTCCTTTCCTAAATAACTTAATATTTTAAAATTTCTTGCAAGGCAAATCTACTGGCAACAAATTCCTTCAATTTTTGTTTTTCTGAGTAAGTCTTTGTTTCTCCTTTACTTCTAAAAGTTAATTTCTTGTGGTACAGAATTCTAGTTCAGTGGTTTTTTTCTCTCAACACTTGAAATATTTCATTCCACTATCTTCTTACCTGCATGATTTCTAAAAAGTTAGATATAATTCTTTGTTTCTTTATAAGTGAGACTTTTTTCCTCTGGCTGGTTTTATGGCTTTTTTTTTAATCTTTGATTTTTTTAGTTCAAAAATGATATGTCTAAGTATAGTTTTGAGGGCATTAATCTTGCTTGGCGTTCACTGACCTTCTCATGGTTTGGTGTCTGACATTAATTTGGAGGAAATTATTGTTATTATTATTATTGTTCCAAATATTTCTTCTCTCCTGTCTTTCTCCTTCTGGTGTTTCCCATTATGCTTATTTATACCTTTTGTAATTGTTGCATCATCCCCAGATATTTCATTCTATTTTTTTCAATCTTCGTTCCCTTCACTCTTTAGTTTTAGAGGTGTCTATTATGATATCTTCAAAAATCAGAGTTTCTTTACTCAGCCATGTCCAATCTATTAGTCCCATCAAGGCATTCTTCATTTCTGTTCCAGTGCTTTTGATCTCTAACATTTCTTTTTGGATCTTTCTTAGATTTTCCAATTCTCTGCTTACATATCCTATCTGTTTTGAATGTTGCAAATTTATCTAAAGTTCTTAACACATTAATCACAGTTCTTTTAAATTCTCAGTCTGTCGATTACCACATCTCTGCCATGTCTGGTTCTAATGCTTGCTCCATCTCTTCCCATTTTGTTCTATGCCTTGTAATTTTTTCTTGCTAGCTGGACATGATACACTGAGTAAAAGGAAGTGCAGTAATGTCTTTAGTCTTTAGTAATGTGGTAGTGAGGAGTGAGGGGGAGGAAGGCATCCAGTAGTTCTCTGAACAGGTCTCAGATTTTACTGAGCTTGTGCCTGTGGACTGTAGGATTCATGGTGTTTCTCAGGATCTCTTACATTTTAGGTAGAGGAGGAGGATTAGAGTGGGCTGATTTGGGTATCTCCTTTCATTCATGAAATGCTAAAGCTGACTGGATCCTCTTGTCTCAGCCTCCCAAGTAGCTGGGACTCCAGGCACCTGCTGTAATGCTGGGCTATTGTTTCTTTTTGGGTTTTTTTGTTGTTGTTGTTTGTTTGTTTGAAACAGAGTCTCAAGCTGTCACCCTAGGCAGAGTGCCGTGATGTCATAACTCACAGTAACCTCTAACTCGGGCTCAAGTGGTCCTCTTACCTTACTTTTTCTACTTTTAGTAGAAACAGGGTCTTGATTTCAGTCAAGCTGGTCTGGAACTCATGAGCTCAAGCAATCCACCTGCCTCAGCCTCCCAGAGTG